GGTATTGTTGTTGTTGTTGATGTTGTTGTTGCTACTACTACTACTACTACTACCACCACTACTACGACTACTACTACTACTACTACCACTACTACGACTACTACTACTACTACGACTACTACTACTACTACTCCTCCTACTACTGCTACTGCCACTCCTACTGCTACTGCTACTGCTACTCCTCCTCCTCCTACTACTATGAGCAGATTATTCAGGGGATGAATGGTACCTCAGACCTTCTAGACCTTCTAGACCTTCCACGTGGGGAGGGGTTTATTAATCCGGTCTTCGCATTACTAATGTTCGGTGCTGTTGAAGAGAGAATCTGATCAAGCTACGATGCCATGACAACTGGGTCCATCTTATGGATTTCTTCCTGCCATACTAAACAACAGCTTACACGTGCTCAAAGGATATTCATTATTGAAAACACATCTACACACACACACCTCACGAAGAAGTGGAGCCTTCACGCATTGTGTCATACTACAGTACATTGCAGGAACGCCTTGGGTGGCAACTCTGCACCAGACTGCCGATAGGTCTCTTCAAAGGATGGACCATCCAGAACGTAGAACTGGCAAGTCAGCGTTGGACGCCGTTTGTGGAAGTAGTGTTGCAAGCCAGAGGTGTGCGAGTCAAGAATACTCAGCGCATTCAATCAACACATATGTGTTGCTGGAAAAATATGCTTTCAATGATTCAATGGTCATGCGTGTGCTGTAGAAGGATGCAGGAACAGAATCAAACTGTCTCAGGCATCTCGAAGGTCAGTTCCCAGACTGCCAAGTACATGATCACGTCTTAATAATGCTGTTCAGCGAGTGTGGAAAGACCTGGGCCCCTGGGCCTTGGGCGCTTTCTTATCACTCGGACGAATCCATATCCTTGCCTTCTTCAGCTTCACAAGCCACAAGCTTGTGATCATGTGTCTGACATGTCCAATCTTTTGAAGCTCTGGCCTCATGATCCACCGAGTCCTCCTGCACCACCTGCTTCGCGATGGGAAGCGCTAGTGTATTTTACCTGTGCCAGCCTTCACTTCACCAAAGTGAACTGACCAAATCTGTTGACAGCATCTCAGCTTCTGACCATACTGGAGTCATCCAACACCACTGTCTTAGCAACTACCTGAGGCTTCTGCGCAGCAATAAGAGACAGTTGAATAGCTTGTTGATAGTTTCCACAAAAATTCAGGAAGCAAGTCATTAGTGAGTGCGAGTGCTTCTTCAAGGAAGCTCCCCCCGCCCTCAGGCGCAGGGAGCTTCCTTGAAGAAGCGTGCGCTATCCTGCGACCTTATGTAGTAGCGTCCTACTAGCCAGGAGCAAACTTCTCCCTTACTTAATTAAGTAGACGCTTCCTTAATTGAGTGAGGAGGCAGGGCCACGGGCTTTAAAAAATAAAAGGAAAAGAGAAAAGAAAAGCACTTGACCAGCGGACCCCAGTGGGCTACGACGGACTACATGGCTTGCTCAGCACCTAATTATGGTCACCTGCTGCACTTCATATTTTTGGATCTCAACTTCCTGCTCTGGATCGACAAGTGTTGCACCCCGCCATGGGGAAATTGAAAGGAACACAAGGACTCCAAAGCATTGTCGAATGCCTTAGCAACGCCTCGAATGAAACTACCCCAAACTCCTGGATAACCAGCCCTGGGTCCTGGTCTTCTACTCCCACTGTGCACCTCCCCGTTGATGATTGTCAGTACTTCTTCCCCACGCCTGAATACAGAAGACAAGATGCTAGCGTTTCTGAAGTGTCAAGCTTTTGGTTGCGTCTGTTTGCTCGAGAATCAAACCCATGTAAAAAGACACATATGACAAGTGAAGGAGGGACGCTAGCATAAGATATATAACTGTTCAACTAAACTATATAATATATATATATATACACTGCTGAACATACAGATCCCGTTCGAGCGCTCGCTTGCTCTGGGTACCTTTTGAATCTCACCAACATGTAATGTCACAAACACTTCCCCTCCAAGTGCCCTTGCGCAATACAAATGAAAACAAATGTATGAATGTATTACAGTTTATGTAAAATGTGGGTTTAAGATATCTAAAGAATTGACGATTGCAGGACAAAATGTGTCAATTAGGCCTGGCAGGACGCGCTAAGCGCCGACCTGCACGTCGCATCTTCATGCCTCGTTGCCTTGAGCTCAGGGACAATTCGAGTATCAAATGGGATGCTTTCATATAGTGCCGAACACCCGGGATCAACAAGGGTGCGTTCTCAAACGCAACCTGTGAAAGAAAGTATCTGCCTCCTTCCTAGACCGGGAAGAGGTTTGACAACATGATCTCAAAAGTCTTTCGAGTGAGAGAGGAAGGTCGTCAAAGAGGTCAAAGTCAAAAGTATCAAAAGTATAAGTATTGATCATTGGATGTGAGGGAGACTTCCACGCTGCTTCTCGGAGAAGCTTCCGGGAACCTTCCGAATCACTTCCGAACCTCCGTTTTCTGTCAACCCAAAATAGAACGACCTCAGAACCTCTCTTTAGTGCGGAAAAAGAAAAACCGGTAAGATGATTATAGGTCATTGTTGTCCCCTTTACTAGGGAGCCCGTCAACTGATTTAAAGGCCCCTTAGTAAAGGAGGCCATGATTTTCTTACCTTCTTTCGTTTCTTTAGCCTTGTTCCACTCCTTTTTTGATGCACGCAGCTACCTCATCAAGGGCAAGAAGTGCTCGCGCATCTCTTCCTGACGAGTGCAAGTAGTTAATCTCATTTCAGGCGGAGAGAAAATGAATGCGTTCTGCTTTCTGGTAGTAAATGAAGGAAAGAAAGGTACTCGTAAGAAGAAACAAGAAAAGAAGCCATGCAAAACGAAACGAAACACTTCGAAAAGCCTTCTCAACTCATCTCAACTCTGCTCATTTCTTTTCTACGGGTCGCAAAGTGAACAAGCTAGGGCTACTAGTCAGCAGAAACAAATCCGCGCTTCATGAGAGAAGAAAACATGGAGCCCTCACATGTCACACATTGTTCTTGTTGAGTCACAAGACTCAAAAGACACTCAAACTGAATGATGAAATCCGAACAACTAAAGCAGGTCAGTCTACACTGTCGAGGGACTCGGATCTACTCCTCTCCTGGGAGCGAACACCAGGACCTTGAAATTGCCCATCATCACTGTAGACTGCCTTGATTTACAGTGGGCTTGGCTCAAAAGCTTGGCAATGGGTTCGGGCAAATTCACAGCTACATGCATGTTCTCAAAAGCTGTTACACAGACCTATAGCAGCCCATAGCTGCTATAGCAGGCATATCATTCTGACACGAAAACTCGCTGGGTCTCCAGCAGCATTCCGGCTGATCGTCCAAATCTAGGTCAGGGACTTGGGTAAGCTTCGCTTGAGATTTAGATCACTGATCTACCTACCTCTGGTTATTCTTTAAAATCCGGTTGACCGAGTTGACCGGCCCTCAAAACTGCGAGGCAAAGGAAAGGCCCTAAGCGGCCAGGTCACATCAGGGGTCACATCTGTCCACTAAATAACCTGGAAGCCATCTTTAAATTCTTATTGTTACTACTAGTAAGGCACCTGTTCCTAGTAGCGTGGCACTTGTTTCTACTAGCGTGGCACTTGTTACTATGATTGTTTTTTTGATTCCCTAAAAACCTAGGAACCTCAAGTTTCAAGAGGATCATACGCATTCACATGCTGCCTGTGCTGCCTGGCCTCAGCTTCCTTGGAGATGACAAACAGGGGAAAGTCATCGCTCGTAGGGGCTCTGGACAGCTCCCCCGGCTGACCACCAGCGACAAGTGGGATAGCTCCGCCCTTTGTTTGGACGAAGTATGAAGTCGAGTTCTTGTCAGCCATGATCATCGCCAGTTCGTCTGCCCATCGTTCTGAATAAGGCACCTGACCCAGACCCAGTGAATTCAAACTTAGGTACAATGAAATTGTCACAACGTGAGTGGATGAGGGGAAAACCTGCATTCTCGAAAGAAATTACTTGACTGGCTACAACATGACATCAAGGATCCTTGGAAAAAAAAGGCCAGGGGAGGACAACCTTGGAATTGCAGCTACAAGCCAACTCTTGCATCAGAACCTGCCCAAAAATGCATGAAATACAGGCTCTACGGCGGATCTGATGTGACTTCGAGTTTTCCTTCAACCAATGGCAAAGCATCTAGCAATCGATGCGACTAAAGTTGTTCAGGGTACTGGTGTGCCATGCCATGCTCCAACTACTTCAACTGGCGAGACATCCAAAAGCATCACTGGCTTGGCAAAACCATGTGAAAGGAAGAATATGATTGCATAAATGAAAAGAAACAGTAAAAGTTCTATTTGTCCTCACAGGCTCGAGCTAACACTATCCTGCCACCGCTCCTCATTGTAAGAAGTGGAATAGTCTGTGATCAGCAAATATCCTGGCCTGAAGGCAGGCAGGTGGGTCGCTACGGCCATATCTTTGCAAATGAGCAAATGGACATTTGTGGCTTCCTTGTTACTAGTAGCTTCTTGTTCCTAGTAGTAATGCCAGGAGCAACTAGAGCGATGCCCGTTGTTGCTGGAGCAAATGGACATTTGGCTTGCAACTACTGTATGTACCAGGGGAGGTTAAATCTGGACATTCCAGGTTTGGCTCAGGGTATCAGCCAAATAGCTTTCTAAAGTCAGTAAGCAGACCGTAGATATCTTGGAGGATGGGATCCCAGAAACTGAGACAAAAACTCCATGTCACCAAACAAACAGGATGCATAGTCTTTCATTGATGGTTGGAACGTGATACTTGTTCTGTAATGGGCAAGCAGTTCCACATAACATATGTATAATGTAATATAACATTATACAATATATAACATTGTTGTATATTCAACAATAAATCAAATATACACAGTAATTATGAAAAACTATGTCATAAATCATAGAGTCATAGAAAGAACTTGTGCTGTTATCCCGCTGCACCAGCAAATGTCGGCCTGATTGCAACTGGGATGGGGCTGAAGGCAGTGTAAAACTTGCCACCAGGCAGGAAGGCCATATCCTGCCAAACGCAAAGCCATGTTTGACCAGCTGACTCCTTGCACGTGACAAGGACCTGCTGAAACTCCCAGCGTTTTCTGATTCAGAACACACTGTTGAGTCGAGTGTTGAGAAATTAAGCTGAGCCCTGTCCTCATCCGTCACTTCATAAATGATCACCTGTTAGGATGTTAGGACATAACACGCAAACCAATCTTAGGAATTGACTGTGACTTGACAATTTCCGGAACATTAAAACAACATACCCATCCACAGTAGCCATTTGGGATCTTAGCTAGTGGCGTGAACTGTCAATGAGCAGTGTTCCCAAGGGCCTGATATCTCACTATAATAAGACCTACATTTATACAAACATCATCAAACATCTAGCTATGCACGTTCAACAGGTTGCGCGTTGATTCTTTGAGGAAGAAGTAGCAGCTGCCGAATGGGTGGACAGTGGACTGTCCCGGAATCCAAGAACTGGTCTCTGCCGATGGCCACGAGTAGCCTCTCTTGAACACATTTTGTGGAAACACATACCCCCGCTTGCTCATTGGAATACATTGAATACATGTTACATGCCTGGCGAGAAGAACTATATAATCTATCTTAATTATATATACTGTGACCCATGCTAGCTTGCCACTTTGGTGGCTACGCCGTCCTCGAACTGCAACTGTTGCAGCAGTGGCAATGCCGCTAAGATTACCGGTGTAAATCCCGAACTAGCGTGGCACTTGTTTCTACTAGCTTCTTGTGATTGGCAAACAAGCGTGAAACATTTGAGGCTTTTTGCGTCTGCCTGGCTTCAAAAGTGGCTTCAAAGTTCCACAAAGTGATGCACTCCTCGGGCATCCGTGGCACACGCACACGCGGCACATGGAACCCGGCGCTTGCGCGGCGCAAAAGCATTTGGGCTTGTGGCATGTGTCCAAGCTTTCCAGACATGGTCAGGGCCACCGGAAGCCTTTGACCCCAGCCCTTTCAGACAACCAAACTGTGCCTCACGGCGAGCAACTTGGTGAGTCGTGCGTCACTTTGAGCAGACACGGTAGGACAGCTGCAGCTCAACAAACGCTGCCTTCAATTGACCAAACTGAATTCACCCATCTTGAACGGCAGTAAGTTCAGGCGGATCGCGAGAAGTGACTGCAAATGTCACGACCAAAATGACTCTGAGTTGCACCCTTTTTTTGCTACGAAAAAGGTGGCCACTCAAAGGCTTGGGCCGCACTAAACTATCCGTGTTCAAGGAATGAACTGCCGATGCTTGATCAAACATGGCTTGACAAGCCCTTGGAGGCTTACACCATGCAACTCTTCAAGAACCAAGGCATTTAGATTCCACGATTGGCTTCAATTTGTCTTCACTCTGGAAGTCTGGAAGTTCACCACACCAGTGACACCAGTACTACATTGTTTTTTGTCAAAGTCTCCCTGAGTCACGGTGCGACCTTAAAGAAGCAACTTCTGGCTAAGACGCACATCCTTTGAGGACGCGCCGACTTCCAACAGCAACTCACTGCCAGCATCCGGAGATTTCCATCCACCTGTCCACTTGTCGAATTCACGTTGAAACTGCAGATTCGTGGCGGTAGCGGTTCATAGCTGCATATCCACGTGGAACAGCAGAACTCTTCCATAAACAATGCACACATATGCACACTCTATACGAGCAGTGTAAATTGCAACGAAATCCTTCAAAGACAAAATCAAAAATGGTACCACTCATCTTTTATCCCTGCGGAATGACTTCCATGCTGTCAGTCAATAGCAACGCTGCTCCTTATGGAAAGCCTTCGAATCCCTCCAACACTTCTGTCACAACATGTTGGCCGTCTTTGCCTTCGTAAAAGCTGCCCAGACCACGCTCGTCCAATTGGAAGGTCACCTAATAATGCAGGCAATACCAGCGTGCAACACACTGAATGGAACTGCACACCAACGTCTGCAACTGCCCAACTGCTACCCTGTCCACCAAACGTTGACCAATGTGATGACATGTTACGATGAGTTGCTTTATTGATTCACATGCAATGTCAGCATCGGGTTGCTAAGGAAAGAATGGTGACAGTCTTTTTTGACGAGAGAAAAGAACGAGTGAGGCAAACTAGACAGCTGACCTAGGCGATGCTTTGGTCCTCAAAGCTACATCCCATCCCACCAGCCCCGTGCCTTGACTGACTCATTAGGTTGCAAGGCCTACAGAGACGTGTGAAAAATGCAATCACAATTGATTCATAGGTCTGCATTCATGATGCTTGGATTCTCTGGATTCCCTGATTGTAGGTTGGAGGCCATCGGTACTAGGAGCAAGGACGCTACTAGTAGCTCTTGGCCATACTACTAGTAGCAAGGACGCTATTAGGTTGGAGGCCATCGCTATTACAAGTTTGCTCTTGCCGGCCACTGCTCCAGGGGCCTTGGTGCGCTGAAAGGCTTTCAGGGCTCGTGGCACCTTGAGTGTCGTGATATAGACCTGAAGGACACAGCTTCTGATCTAATCGTTTCAGGCGTGGACCTTGCCAAAAGAAAGGGTTTCTTCATCCAGCAACTAAAGTCCAACCAAGCTAAGCTTGCAGAAATAAGTGCGGATTTTCATATGGGTGCTCAAAGTATCGGAACTGCATTCAGAATTAAAACAAACGCGGGTGTTCCAGGGTAGTGGTTTCAGACCTACCTATATGTGTGAAGTGAGCCAAAGGCTTTGCACAACTTTATACGAGGCTAACGAACCATCATTCAGCATTCAGTGCCCGGAAACGTGGCACCTGGGAAGTAGGTGCCTATCAAGTCTCGTGTCAAGTTTGGAAGAGCATTGTGAGCAAGTAACTCTCAATGGCTTTAGAAGTCTGCGTTGCAGCAAAGCTTGAACAACTATATACAGCTGGTTGCAAAGCCTGAATGACCTCAGCACCAGTGGCAGCTCCCACATTCTTGACCTTGGCCATCAAGGCAAGTCGGAGATTGGACAGTCTGAAGCTTTCATCCAAAATGACCACCACTTCCAATATAGCAGGATGTGTCGATTGGCCAATAAGACTATATATATATATAACATTGATCAATTCCTACAGTCCAACATCATAGGTGGCTTTTCTCTGCATTTACGGGAAGGGCAGCACTCAAAAGCTATTATTTGAGGCTCTCGAAGAAGCTCTTCTCAACCTAGTGCGACAAGTTGCATGCAATGAGGTGATCTGAGGTGGTATTTATAGAGAAATGACATGTTGGGTGCAGCTTTGCACTCCCACACTTAGGGGCTCCTGGCCTTACTAATACTAGGAGGAAGGACGCCACTAGGGGCTCCTGGCATCGCTACTAGGCGCAAGGACGCTACTAGGGGCTGTTCCCCCAAGCCCCACTAGATCTCCCGGCCTGCAAAGATACTGTGGCAGATATGACGTTCAGGTCCACCTGAAACCGCTTCAACGGCAGAATAATATCACAACCGGAGACTGCGTTGCTTGTCTTGTACCCCTCGTACAAGCACGAGCTTGCAAAGGTTTGCTGGGTGAGGAAGACATGAAACAGCGGGACCTTCGAGGCTTTCAGCAGCCCGGCAGCAAAACTCTAGCCGCGGGGTGAGATCATCGGTCCCAGGCCAACTCGGTCCCATGCCCCTGTGATCCCACATGTACATGACACGAACAATGATGTCGCACCTGCAAGTCACTGTATTCAAAGTTTGTGTAGGAAAGCCTTGGCACATTGCCACTGAGACCAAGCATTCACTATGCCGAATTTGCCAAAAATATCTAAAAGGTTGATACGTGATTCCTACCTACAAGTACCTGACTACAAGAGGGAAAAGGACCATTACTGTACTAAGTACAAAGCAGTATCAACTAAACAATGAGTTCTGCTGAAAGTTCTGTCTTGGACTATCAGTGTCGTGTTGGACATTCACTTGTGGAACTGCTCTTTCTTTTAAGAAGAGCCGGCAATGCCCCTTGATGATGCCCTCATCTGAATTGTTTTGCAGTAAACTGAACAACCTCGCAAACAAAGTAATTGCTCACCAAACAAAACATCGAAGGAGCCCATGTCCAAAGTGGAAGACAGGATCGAGCTCACCATTGCGATAGCCCAAGAACAAGCCCTCGTGATACTCCACATTGCCTAGCGAACGGCAGATTGGCACCAGGACCACATCATCATTACAAGGGTGCACAAGACCGGAAAGGTGCACAAGACCGGAAAATGGCCATTAAAACCAAAAACTCTTTTGAACATGACTTCATCATGCAGTGTGCCTGGCTGGTCAAACTTTCCTTGCCTGGCCACTTCGGAGGATGCCTCGGGCAACGTAGCGTGAGGCGCAATAGAGGGGTAGCACTACTGGACGATGAATATTCCGCTTGTTCCAAGAGATTGTGTTTTTGCTTCATTCATGCAAACTGTTTGCAAAGTACCAGCAACAAGCAACATAACATATCGTTTAAACTATGTTAATATATTTTAATCTGATCTGATCCATATTATATATCTTGCAACGAACTCGTCTTGGCCTCTTCAAGGCATCTTGGCCACGTTGTTGGAAGACGCCCAGAAGGGCACTCACCCAGAAGACATGCAGCCACGGATTCTCCTGTGCACTCCCCACCATAGTAGGACCTCATGTCACTCCGAAACGCGCTTGTACTTAAGGATGGGCTGAGCAAAAAGTGGATGCACTGTCCAATGCAATGATGCTGTGAAATCCAAGTATATAGTGGCTGCTTAACACTTTCATTCTGATGTCGTCACTTGGTGTAGCTTTCACTTCGGGCATCCTTGGACTGTGTGTCACCGCCCTGGTCGCGCTCTTGTCAGGTTTGGGGCTGCAGACAGGAGTACTGAACCAACTTCATCAAGCCACGGAAGCTCCTGCACAGTGAACTGTCAGCGACCCGGTCCGTCATAATATCAGTTTCGCAGGCTTTGTCGTTCCAGGTGAAAGACTCCCAACCCGCTTCCTAAACCCGAAAGTGTGGAAACGGAAACGGGCGAAGATAAACAGGTCCAATGAGCCTCATGGTTCAAGTGCACCTCGACATTAAGGTCGAAAACTACAAACATGTTTGATCCAAAAGAACCGGAGATTGTTGGAGAAATCAAGCTCACTTCAAAAGACATATCTGACCGCAAAGCATCCACAAGCCTTAGGGCTTCCAACATTGAGCACCACCACCAAG